AAGAGTATACAAAAATTTACTACTCTTTGAAAATGGTTTAAACACCGAAACGATCGTCAGAGAAATAAATGAACATATTGTGAAACTTGCCGAGTGTTTTAATTCCTTTACTTTAATTTTAGTCTTAGAGTATTTATAATTTTATTTGAAATACTTTTCAATATTTAATTTTGCAAATACTTTTTCAAATACTTGTAATATTTCATATTTATCTGTACACGATTTATAAACAATTTAACTTAACAGGATATATTATGTATAAAATACTTCGAAAGTTTTAATAATAATTATAATAATGCTAATATATTTTCAAATAGAAAATCACAAGCTAAGTATTTGCTTAAAAATACTTGTTTTAAATACCTTTAAACAAGAATTCTTTACAAGTACTTATGTACCTGCTTTAGATTTTTTTAAAATTACCTAGATTTATGTATTTTTACTTACGTATATGTGTGATACTGGCTTAAAATCATTTTTTAAATATATCTCAAAAAGTATTTGTATTTGAGTACTGTTTAGAAGCTATTTTTTACAAGTCTGCTTTACTGAAAAAAAAAATCTTTTCAATTTAACTGTCTACGAAATATACCTACAAGTTATTGGTTTAATAGGGTAATGAGAAAAAATAAATCGAGGACGACGAAGTATCTGTCATTATTTGTCATATACTTTTAAGATTAAAAGCGGTTATGACTTCTTCACGCGGATACACATGTAATTAATTCGAATGGCGGTTATGGGTTAACATTTTCCCTGAACAAAGTGCTATTCAAACAACAGTAGCCTATTCACTCAGTATCCATAAAAATGTGGCATTTACGGAGAGAATATTTAAGAGCTATTTTTCAGTAGAAGATTAAGCAACGAAATTTTGAAACTTGTTCTCATTTTCGGCTATTTCTTTTGTTCGTTCAGTTCCGGTTCCGCATATTTGACCTCGACGAACTGCAAATAAAACGGGTCGTCGCTGACCCTCTACGAAGATGTTAACAAAAACTGCATATTACACGAACTTATTGACCATAAAGTAAGTTAACGCCTATGTACCTAATGCGGCTAAAGCTAATAACATCGAGATAGCATCCATGTCACAGCCAGTTCGAATAAATCGTTAATTTTAATTCCGCCTAGACGTTTCATAAAAGAAATGGTCATTTCAGATCGGCTAACTAAAGTTTAGGTGGATTTGTAGTGAAGCGAGTAATTGCATTATGAATTGTGTGCTATCATCGCCCAATCTAGCAATTCAGCCGCTCCGGGCAAATGTAATATTGCCGACTTTTACAATACCACCGTACAAGTCACAAGAAAAAAAAATATATTACATATATAGAAAGGGGTTAGAGATAGCTTTAAATAAAATGGAAGCGGTATTGACAAAACAGTAATGTATGAAAATAAACAAAAGTAAAACGAAAATACTGGTATGGAAGGGAAGAAAAAGTAGGGAAAGAGCGAATATAAAGATAGGAGACGAAAAATTAGAAGAAGTGGCCGATTTTAGGTATCTAGGAAGTCAGATAAGTCAGGACGGAAGGAGCAGTAGGGATATAAAGCAGAGGATAGCGCAGGGTCAGATCGCCTTCAATAAAAAGAAGTCACTTCTATGCTCGCGAACGGTTAATTTAGAAATTCTAAAAAGGTGTATGTTTGGGGCGCGGCACTGTACGGGTGCGAAACCTGGATAGTGGGCGTGGCGGAAAAGAAAAGGTTAGAAGCGTTTGAAATGTGTAAGTAGCGAATGATGAGGATACCGTGGATAGAGAAGGTTAGAAATACAGAGGTATTAGAGAGAATAGGAGAATAGAGATGGAAGTCAATAAGAAATAGGCAAGATAGGTTAGTAGGACACCTTCTCAGGCATAAAGGTCTACTCAGAGACATATTAGAGACAGAAATGGAAATTAGGAGGGGTAGAGGTAGATCTAGATTAAATTACTGTTCGTAAATAGTTAAGGATGTGGGTTGTTTTAGTTTTAGGGAAATGCGAAGATTAGCTCAGGATAGGAAAGAGTGGAGGTTGGTGTCCAACCAGTCGTCAGGACTAACGACCTTATGATGATGATTATGTATTTACATACAAACTATCGGAAATAACTGCATCTTTGAACATGGTAATCTATAAAAAATTCGGTACTATTTCCTTGTATTCTAAATATAAAAGTCGTGAAAAAAACATTACATTTCGGATGCCCAAAAGAGTTGGTTCCTTCTTTCCTATTTTTCTTCCTGTTTGACTACTTCCCTTATTAAGAAAAATATAAATCAGCACTCTAAAATATGTTGGTCCGTCTAAGAATTTATAGTCACTAGCTAAAATAGTACATACTTTTTTGTCAGGCTGCTGTTTGTTGGACTGTTAAGCAATGTAATTTTGTATATTATATGATTTTTTCTCCGTGCAAATGCTCAACGCCTTTACAACCTCAGACGAATTAGTTGAAGTTGCGTTAATAATTAATGAATAAACTAGTGATAATATTATCAATTTTATATCCTAATTAGGTAGCATTTTAGTTAGGTGTATATTAAATACGGTGTAAGCAGTAATCAAAAAAACTAATTCACATCATAATCTAACCAGTGGTTCAAATTAAAAAATTTTTTGTAAATTGCGGTTATACGTTATATTTCCCTTCCCGATATAACTAAACGTCATCGTCAGCTACTCTATTAAGAAACGCCATATAAACAATTCGCTTTTAAAATTAGGATTACCTTCAAAATAATCTCTACAATAAGTAGCTAGATAAATAAAAATAAATTAAGAAAACGCCATTTCTCTAGCTGTTTAACAAATTCGACCTATTCAAAAATTAATCTCAATATTAATTTTAAGTGGAAATAGGCAGGTGTATCTACTCACCAAAACTTACCTCCAAAAATTTTCTAAAATTTTTACACAGTCTCGTTTGGAAATAGCTAAAATGTCATACAAAGAAGGTTATTTTGTGTAGTGCTCTAGGGTCGATGTGACCTTTTACGGGGTAGGGTTTATAAATTTTTCGGAGATTGAATACTAATTCAAATGCTGCTCTTAAATTTTACAACGAAATATTATTTATTTACAAATTCTGTTACATAGAGGTATATCTTTTATAAGATAAATATTAAATAATAATGCAATCCAAAAATACGTAACATTTTTAGGATGTTTAAATCAGAGCAACGACAAGGGATAAATAATTTATTTGTTAATTCTTAAACCACGTTGGACGTTTCGCCTAGGTTTGTAGATTTTTTCAAGGATAGGTTTAGGCGTTAATATTATATATAAGATAAACCGTTGCTGGCGTCGGAAAAAAGCACATGTTACAGTTATTTGGCATTGATAGAACATTTATGGTATAAATAAAATAGTAAATAAGAATAAATAATTAAAAACAGAAGTCGTGTAAATAAAACAATAAATATGAAATTTACAATTAAATAAACACGTGGTGGACAGGTCAACGTTCACAACGGTTTATTTTATATATAATATTAACGCCTAGAGCCTATCCTTGAAAAAACGTATTAATCTAGGCGAAACGTCGGACATGGTTTAGTGGTTAATAAACAGGGTAATTTTCGTATACCGTGGCGCCTCTCAAAACACTGAATTCGCCTTGTGCCGGCCCTGTAAGTGGTCATTAAAATTTTTAATTTTTATTTTCTTAAGATATCTGCCCTTGTAGTCAACAAGAGATAAACATTTTATGCCTATGCGGCGTATGGTAGCATTAAAAACAATCTGTTCAATATTTTTATTTTGAAAAAAAAGGCTATAACTCAAAATATGTAGGTACATGTTCAGTGAATATAATTCAAATTATTTCGGTTAGTTTTCACATTAAAGACGTAAATAATACCTTTATGTAATCACTAAAGAACTGATAATTCATGGCCTGGTCGACACATAAAGTTAAATGTTAAGTTAAAAATTTTGAATTAATGTAATTTAAATTATCGTCATGTACCTAAATTATATCTATACTTATGTCTAATCCCAAATTTTTCGGCGTGATGAGGGATGAGTCAAAAGTTCTAGAACCTAACTGTGATAAACATACTATTGCTTCTTATTATTTTTTATTCTTTATAAATTATCATTTATCGTTAGCCAACCTTGGGTCGCATACAATATGTGACATAATCAATGATCTTTGACTGTTGGATCAGTGTAAACATAAATAAATAAATAAAAAAACATTTTGTAATAAAAGCAATGTTGAAGAACCTATTTTTTCTATTTGTAACAGAAATAATAAGGAAATGTTGTAAATAAATAAGTCGGTAATATCCGTAGGTATTGCCAATCCAGTGTTTTTTTCTTATTTACTGGGGAGGGACATGAGAAGTATAATAAAGTATCCAGTTATACGGTGGTTATTACATTTAGCAGTTGCTCACCCCTAGATTTTGAAAACAGGTTTGTACACACGCCTTATAAATTCGACCCAAGACGTTTGATAAATAGTCTTTTAAATGCAACAGTCGGTTTTTGTTAAAGTATACCTTTGGATAAATTATATTAGTAAACACAACAAACAACATTTTCTTAGGTTTAGAAGATAAGTTGTATTCGTAACATTTTTTAATATATAATAAAAATTAAGAGAAAAAGAAAGGCCCCGGAGGGATTCGAACCCTCGATCTCCTGTTTACTAGACAGGCGCTTTAACCAACTAAGCCACGGCGCCGTTGGAAACATTTGGTTAATTATTAGTCTTTAAACGAAATGCGTATTATTACAAATACGTTATTAATTTATAAATTTATTAGTATAACAGCATTAACTTGAAATCAAATTAAGGTATTTGAAAATAACCTATCCTGTTGTTCCAAAATATGTTTATAATGACTTGCATTTATTTCCTATTAAATAACCTATTCCAACATAATTAGCTGCCAAAACAGACGCATAAACACATATTAATCAAAGCAACCGTAGTTAGTCACGTGCTTTCTGCTTATCCAATGGTGATCATTGTTTTTAGTACTTCCGATGCTGTCTAATAAGGAAGTGCGCATGACAGAAAGTTTGTTGTAAGCTTTAGTTAACTTCTTTTCTATTGCAAGTTGCAAAGTTTTTATTGATTAATGAATTAACAAGGTGTCTATGAGTACTCCAGAAGCGAAAATACCGCCTATTACAATGAGTAAACTTTACATTGGAAATTTGCCTACAGAAACGTCTGAAACTGCTCTAAGACAGCTGTTCTTGGAGCATAATTTGTCGTGTACAAATATCTTGGTAAAACGTGGAGGTTATGCCTTTGTAGATTGTCCGGACCAATCTTCGGCAGATAAAGCAATTGACAAGCTTAATGGTAAGATTTTATTTTTCTAAATCAGAGTCAGTTTAAACAGACTTCAACTATGAAATGAATGCGACACTTTTACACTCTCATAAATGATGGAAAGTTATTACCAATGCCGGCCGGTGAATTAAAGTTGTAAGAATTTAATAACTACTTCTTAATGTATGAGACTATATATTTTGAATTTCTTGCTTTTATACACGGGTATTCACAAAGATTTAAAAACTTATGTATATAGGCACTTGTAAGTGAATGGTGGAAGGGGAGAGATACTACATTTTGCAGTATTCTTATGTTGACCCTCGTTCCTTCGTAATTGCACTCATTTACATTAATTTGTTCATCTGCATGACTAAAATTGTCTGAGAAGTCTAAATCATTTCTCAAATGTCTTTGTCAGCCAGCATGTTAGGTATAAAATATATTTAATTCAATATTTTTGTTATGAATTATAACATACATATACATGGGTCCATTAAAATTTGTCTCTTTAATTGAGTATCTGGTTATCTTTGCTTAATTAGATTAAAATTGGAAAGGGCAACGAATGTTAAACCCTTTGAAAAATCGTTTTCGTTTTCTTTTTTATTGAAAAATAATTATACAGGTAATAATTTTACATTTAATATGTACTTTATTTGCTTAAAATTTTAATGGCATTAGTACTACGTATGTCTGTATGGTATTGTTTCTTTTCAAGCGATTGAATTTCTTTTACATGTTTGTCACCGCGTTTTTTGTCGTGTTGTTGCTGGCACATCTGTGTTTTTAACAGACAGGAAGTACTAACACGTGTATGATGTTTTTCAAAGTTCAAGATAATGGTTTTATTTTTAAGAGTCGTGCACCGGCATACCAGTGAGCTATCACGGTTGCCTAGTGGAGAAAACTTTATATTTAGTCTCTTCTTCATTGAGGAATTTCATTATTATGGGAACCCATACGGTACTTTCCATGTCCTAAGAATAGTTATTTATGTTTGCCGCCTTTTTTTGCAAGTCAAGTTTATACCAACACCTTTTTGCATCATCTGTACGTATGCCCCCCGTTTTAATGACTTTTTTTGTGAAAAAAAAAAATATGCGACACTTTTTATTTCATTATTTCTTTATGCGTGTGAAGAGAAGATTAAAAATAGGATGAAATGATTTCTTATGACATGAATATGACTAAAATGATTTCATAGTATATGAGGATATGAATGTAATTGAATGTTTTGGTTTGTTAACATTTTTTATTTTGTGATATGAAAATGTATCTACAAATATACATGGCGCAATGTTCTGAATATGTTATAGAAAAAGAATACAACTGGATTCTTTGCGAAATTCCCATACGTTCTTTTTTACTTTGCATCGTTCGTAGATAAATATTCTTGCTGTTTATAATTGTATATGTGTAGATGTTACAATCAAAACTCATAGCCAGTCAAAACCATTTTTAACTGCGAAAATCAGACAAAAGTGGTTTTGATTAACGACTTAGTCAGTAGTGGTTTTAATTAATGCCTTAGTCAAAAGTAGTTCGGCCTGATAAGTTCAGACTATCGGTCAAAACTGAAAAGCTAAGGAAGCTAGTGAAAACTGTCAGAAAATGCAATTTTATAAAACTATTTTTAAGGAGAAACGTTTTAAGTGCGTTGTCCGTACAAAATTCACAATCGACATTGTACAAGGTGTGTGAACTTTTAGTTTTTTATTGTTTTCCTTCCGTTTTTAATTTGAACCAATACAATACGAATTTCCAGGTAGCTTAATAGATAAACAGAATATTTATTCATTAAATAATTTCGCAAACACCTACAGATGATTTTTATTTTAACTTTAACATTCTTCGTCAAAACTATTATTGTAACTAATACTTACGATTAGTCAAAATCACTATTACCCAACACTTACGCAGTTAAAAATGGTTTTGATTATGAGTTGCAACATAGGCACTCGATAAGTCGAAGCTTTCGACTTGTCAGGGCGGGGAAGCTTAGGTTTTCGTCACGTAGTCAATATCCTGTAGGTAAATCTTAGGCTATCTGTTTGCAAAAAAATATTTGAAATTATATTTATGAATTGCTACGTGAAAACTTGAGGGGGGTCTTGGCACATACTACTGGTGGTCATCGAGAGGGAGGGGAGGGGATAAAAAATCGTAATAAAGAATGGGTCACGTAGTAAAGATACATGTTGCAATGGGGGAATGATGAATAATGGTAACTCTAATTGGTATGTTTGATTTAGCCTACATGTCATCAATAACCTCCTAACGTATATTTGGAATTTCCCTACTAGGTCAAGGGCGCATTCAGGATTTTATTTAGGAGGCAAGCAGAAAATTCAAAATAGAAAATTTTGCGAATAGTGATGGCTCTGTACCTGTCTTAAAAACGATTATGACCAACAAAAGCCGAAGGCTGAACCCTACCTGTTCATTTTATGATAGGGATAAAGACCAGTCACGGGTATGTTTAAGAGTAAACGGTTGAAAATCGGTTCGAATTTAAAATCTACAATTGGTCTTTTGACAACTACGCGGGTTATTGGTGTGTGTTACGTTTGTGATTCGATAATAGTTTTAACTGTCAATTATTTTCTAGCGTGAAGTTTTTTTATAACTTTTCTGACAACGCAAAATTCTTTTTAATTGTGGATATCTACGTACTTTTCTTGGGAAATTTTGGGATGCTTTTTAGTTTCTTTGAATTTTGTTAAAGAACCTATAGATTAAAATCCCAGAGCAAATCTTCTTTTTAGGAGTACATAATCACTAATTTTATTATTTGATTTGAAGAGTGTTTACACTTTTAAGTTTCAAGTCGATAAACACAGAAAGTTCAAAGTTACATAGGGAATACGATTATAGTCATATAAACTTATGTTCTCCGTTTCACCCCCTTGGGGTTCTTATTACCTACGATTAAGGCACCTCTACACACTCTACCATGAACACATTATCTTTTCATATTTCTATTTTCATTCTTTTGTTCTTCAGTGGTTTACGCTGTGTGTTATCTGTCTGTCACGGAACTTTTTTAATTATAAATACGTTTACACAATACCTACACACATTACAGAGATATTTATAATTATCTAATTTATAAAAATTGATACTACCTGTAAACTCAACGAAGTTTTATACATATACATAAATTTTTTTTTTTCACATTAGGTTTTAAACTAGTTTTTCATGTAAAGAATATCACTTGCGTATCACGGTTCAACTAACTTATTTTTACAAGGCATTAAATAATAATTTTACTAAAACCTCCTCCAAGGATAAATCCTGTGCACGGTTCTGACTAACACAGATTGCGTGAGCATTAAGACTGAAAAAAATGTAAAAATATTATAAATACTAATGCATAACTTAAGTAGTATGTTTAGGTGCTCATAGTTTTATAATGTAGGCACCTACCATGTAAAAAATTACGTTTTTAAAAGAATATATTTTTGCAGGATTTAACTTTAATGGCTGCCCGTTAGTGGTTGAACCTTCAGTAGCTTCGGGAAAGAGAAGGTATGTCGAACAGTTTATTTATATGTATAATAGTTACATAGAACGTGGAAGTACATTTAATCTTATTTAAGAATTATTGTTATTAACGGAGAATATAATAATCTTCCCCTTCGCCTTCGCCTTCTCCTTCAAAATCTATTCCAGCTTCTCTGAAATCTTTCTCCAAACTTGCTATGTCTTTTCGAGTTTCCGAAAATTTACCTTCTTTGATATGCTTTTGCCAACATACCAATGAATGAAAAAAGCACTTTTGGCATACATTAGATCAAACTTGTGGTGGTTTAAATGAGCCCATTTTCGTTTACTACATGTTAGTGTTAAGATTACAACACTGGTGATACGATTCTTTATTACAAAGCATTTAAAATAAATAACTGTAAATAAATTAAAAAAAACTTTGTCAGGCTAATTTTTTTCTTCTACTTTTCCTTATAAGTATGTTTGTTTTCAAAGATATTGCTGCAAATTATTAAGATTTTCAAAACATTAATACGGATATGGAAATACATAATTACATTTCCAAAGTCTGTATCATCATGTGATCAATTAAACTAATCCTGTTCCCACTTGATTACTAAATGAATTAAGAAGCAAGTTATTAGAATTGGTTTGATTTTCAAGCAAATTTATTTATTTGAAATCATGTAAAATATCTGCATTTCAAGTAGGTGCCGACATATTTGTCAAATGGGGTGTTATTTAAGTCAATTTGACTTTTTTAAGAATGTTTGATTTTTTCGTTAGTTATTTTATGACATTAAATCTTGGCATACTTGGGCATTTTCAAATTTACGGTATTGTGAAAATTTTTTAAATCAAATGGGTTCATCAAATCTCATGCACCCATCAAATTTAAAATGTGCACAAAACGCACGAAATGTATATTTTTAGACAGAAATAAAATTTAGTTCATTAATAAAGACGTAAATACAGTTTGTGCTATGCGTTGCACATTTTTTTTAAGTCTTAGAATTGTAAGACTTTGAATAAGTAATTTGAGATTTCTTGGCATCGATTAAAAAATAAAGTTGACTAACGTTCGGGAAAAATAATTTTCAGTTCACTGAGTTAAAAAATTTTGAATTAGTTATTATATATCACAGAATATCCAAATTATATACACTTTTTATCATCAATTATTAGACATTCCGGCAAGTTGACTTTTCTCTTTCTTCTTCTAATTTAGTACAGATGCATAATTTTTTGATAATTCTCCACGAAGCGAAATGTTTGTGGTCTCGTTCTCGAGAAAACTTGATTGAATAACTAGATATATATTATTACTAGATATATACGATTACTGGACAGTTTTCAATGAGACAGCACAATAATTCTTGTCAGTCTGTTAAGAATTATACCTTCACTAGAAATATTTTTAAGTATCCCTTATTATTAATAATTAATTTATGTACGAGTCTATTTGCGGAAATTGCTCATTTTACTGGGCTCCCGAAACACAAATAAATATTCTCAAATATACTCAATAGCAATTTGATGATAAGAAGTTTTCTAGAAGAAGAAATAGAAGTTTTCTAACTAATCGATTTTTATCGAGTTTAGACGTTATTCAATAAGCACAATATATAAATAATTATAACATTCAAATAAAAATGATCTTTAGGGTAGCGTAACATCATAGCGAGCGATAACTCGATAGGCAGTTTTTGGTTATTTAAATGAAAAACTGTCATTTCTGTGTATATGTTTGGGTCTGTGTTTAACTTATTGTAAATAATTTTATTGCTGCATTTTTACTGAAACAAAAAAATCTAATGTCTGAGGTCGATTCACTGGATCGATCGATTACTTAATATCGAAAAAAAAAACAATTTTCAATGTCTAAAGAATCAATTCTTCGACTAATCGATCTCAGATCGCCATCCCTGTAGTGCTTGCTATCTGCGTAGCTCGTAGGTATACATATATATATACCAAACGTCAGATGGTTTTGACATTCTACGTTCATTAAAAATTAGTGCGGGGTGGCTGACTACACGCCTCACGCGTGCGTGATTAAGATGTATTTTCGTGAATGATTTGCGCGAAATAATTGTTTCAGACAAGTATTTCGCGAGTATTACAAATAATGGCCAGGCATTATGTACTTATCTGTATATTAATACATGAAGGAAATTCGAAGGAGTATGAGATTTGGCAGTAAATATGGAGTGGATGATTATATAGCCATACTCTTTGATAAAAGATCCTTAAGAATGTTCACACATAAAAATTTGATGAATTTCAGTCGAATTTCGACGAATGGGCGATCACTAGTATTGATAATTTGATAATTATCTCATCTAGATGTAATTTGTAGTAGGTAGTTGGAGTTAGTTTAAGTAATAAACTTACTTACAGGGCGTCGCGTGCGGATGTGCAGGTTACGCTTCGCACCCGCGCATACGGGCGCTTCGTCGAAGGGGCATTGTATCGCCACCATTATTTAAGATATTTCAGAGAATGATACTAAAGCTGTGGATTATTAGGAGTTGAGTTGGTGACAATTACTTAGCTTAGAATCAATAACAATATGAATGAGATAAATATAGAAATGCCTATAACAATTAATAAAAATTTTAAAAATGTAATCACTCCTAAAAGTTTTTACTTACGTCTTCACACCGTTGGTAATTTACCTATTAAAAATTAGGCGTGTTCCTTAGGTGTGTCGATCCTATTGTTTATTTATTTTCATCATTGTCTTCGGGTTCATCGGTAATGAATTATCTCAAACGAGAATCTCCTTGCTCCCCGATTTGTATTTTTTATTTTTCTTGCCACGAAAATCGCAGCATCACCAGCATCCGTAATAATCATGTGGGCATCATTGTTTTCTAAGAGAAGAAGCCGTACATACATGCATACATGCTTACATCTAGAATGTATGCTTACGATCTCGCTTTAGGCAGCTATTTAAACAGGTTTTATTGCTGAATGGGCCTTTATTAATTCTTAATTTGACATGCTGCTTAGTTACGATCTCGTTTTTTGCTCATTTTTTTTTCTGTATTCCTCGTTTGTCCGCGCCTAGTGCGTTTGTCGGTTCTCTCCAATTCCAATTAGCCGCGAAAGGAAAGACAAAACGCACCAATTCATTTTTTACTTTTCAAACAGCTTTCCACTTTCTGCTATACTTTTTTAATTCAGTCGATACACTTATTATATAGTTACATATTATATTTTTCCAATATCTTCACTCCAAAATGTATGTAGGTATATTAGTTAAGTACCCTTATTCTAGTTATTTTTCTGATTATAACAAATAGCTAAGATTTTCATTTTTGAAATCATTTTCTTATTGATTCTTTTAAGTAGCTACCACAAATTTTCATATGAATGAATACAGACCATTCATAATAATTTAATAGAAATACGGTTTTTGGAATGTACCTATTGCGTCTTGAATATATTTATTTTCTTTTTAAATTTTTGAATTTCTATAACATTTTCTTACCCATCCCTCCTGTGGGATCACCCAAAGTCTCATTTTGACGACCCCTCTTTTATAAAGATGTTACAAATTGCAGACCCCACCCCCTAAATTTGAAGAAAAAATTTAATAAAGCAAATAAAATTATCCAACAAATACTTAACTGGAAATAACTTTATTTCATATTCAATTTTTTAAATAATATGAAAATATGTATTTATTTTAGCAATAACAATAACATTTATTTATTTATTTATGGTAAATGACGTAGAACCTATACATTTGCGCGCGGAATATTTAAAATTTATTACGTTCTTATAATATAATATAGCGGTATTTGCTAATACATTTTTTTTAATACACACTTTGAGGACGTCACAAAAATCCTAATCCCCCCCATTGTCCGACATGGCCATAATTCGATGACCCCCTCCCCCTATAAGGATGGACATCCTTAATGGACGATCTCTTACATGCAATTGTCAAACTTTTGAAAACTACGACGTGGTATTGGAAAATTCGTACAAATATTTTTAGCTATGTTGTCATATAAGCAGTAAAGTAATATAAGTCTAGTAAATACAATTTAAAGTCTTTGAAGGGTGTTATTTTCAGACAAACATTCCACACGTTCACCAAATTATGCATTTCCTACGTGCGACACTAAAAGAAAAATGCCTACAACTGCTTACGTAGATAAACGTTTTGCCGTACCTGTAGGCTTATTGCGAAGCAACCATAATATATTTAATGTTTTTGAGAAAAATTTATTATTTCAATCGAAACAATTCACCCCATGGGCAATTCACTATAACAATCTCACATTTGCATTGTTGTTCTAGTCGAAGTATACTATACAGGGTGACCATGCAGTAATTCGATGCATTTCACAGAAGAGAGACAATTGTTTGTAAAATTTGGTAATTGTCAATTTTCTTTACAATCTTCCGATGATCTTGTTCTTGACATATGTCGTTCTTGGGATCCTTCTGGTCAAATAGGCTATAGGCTATAGGCATAAAGCATAGGACGCGCGAATGCCTCCTTCATAGGTCTCTGATTGTGAGCCCCTCGTAACGCAAATATGTATTGCAGTACTTATTGTTTATATGTTTATGTTTTGTTTGGTATAAGTCAGCTAACCCAACAACGCACCCCAAAGTCAAAACTTATTTGGTTCGACTCAGGTCGTTGACAACAAATCCCAATGTCAAGGCCATGAGAAAAAAGCTAAACTAGAGATTTTTGGCTCAAAAAAATATAAAGGATGCGTTTGCTCGCCCTCTATGTATCCATATGGTAATGTTCCCAAGAATGGCATATTTCAAGATCAAGTTCATCAGAGGGTCGTAAGTTGTAGGTTAATATAGGTACATATGTAGGTAATTACTTTTTTTATATAAAAATTCGAATTATGACCACACGCAAAACTATAGTTTTTATTATTCCAAAGCAGTACGTACGTACGTATGTATACATCTGTGTAAGTTACTAAGTGTACGTACCGAATACAAAAAACAAAGTATAAATTGTGTTAGACATTTTAAAAAGGATTATTCTGCAGGTCGCA